GCAGCCTGTTCCTGTCGACATGGATCTCGACGTGCTCATCGGTGACTCAGACTTCCTGGCCAGCATCGAGACCCAGCATGGAGTCAAACAAGAGGCTGCTGTTGGGATGTTGCAGGCCGCCAAGGGGCACCTCTCCAAGAAGGCCAAGGGTGCTGATGGAGGCGCTCAGCCAGGCTCAGGTCCGGCCGCTCCCTCCACCGCTGGGGGGTAGCACTTTCGTGATCATAACCTCGAGCGTGTCTGGTCTTGCGGGGTTAGATGAAGTTGTGGCTGATCCGTCTATTCGCGAGTGCCAGCTTGCTTGTTTCCAAGAGCATCACCAGATTTCCACTACAACTCTCGAACACAGGTTGCGTAAAGCAGCATGGAGTGCCAAGGTTTCGCCAGCCATTGTCTCTTCGTCAGGTAAAGGTGTTACTGGAGGAGTGGGCATGATGGTGGCTGGATACGGTATGTGTGAAGTTGAGACGGCCGACACCGTTCTCGTACTTGGGCGCGCCACGGTGGTTCACTTTGGCGGTTTGTGTCCAGGAGGTTTCTTGTGGTTCGGGCTTTACCTCCACTGCAGTGTCGGGCTAGCAACAGCAAGCTGGTCCCTACTGTGCCAAGTTCGGGAAGTCATCAAATCATTCCGCATGCCTTTTGTCATTCAAGGTGATTGGCAGATTCCTCCAGATCAGTTGCAAGGCAGTCTCTGGGTCGAGAGCATCGATGCCGTGATTGCCGCCCCGCCTACTCCCACCTGCTCCTCCGCGAATGGTGGCAGGACGATCGACTTCTTCGTGATTCACAATAGTCTGCAGTTTGGGAGTTCAGTTGATGTCTTAAGTCATGTCGCCACCGAACCCCACAAACCTGTGCGGCTCAAGCTTGTTTCTTCGAGCAGCGCGCCTCTGGTTGCTCAAGTGCGTGTTCCTCGAAGATTTCCCACATGTGCGGCCTGCTGGATGTCTACGGCGCGATTGGGATCCGAAGTGGGAGCAGCTTCGCCAAGAGAATGTACATTGCTCTGCGCAGCATCAGTGGGACTCCTTCGCCACGATGGTCGAGCAGCAGTTTCTAGACATGTACCTGATCGACGACAGGGACGCCTCCAAGTACACTGGGCGTGCTGGTAAACTACAGGTGGATCAGGTTCTCGCTCGCGCTCCTCAGCGGCTTCCTTTTCCTCTCCTGGGCCCTGTCGCTGTCTGGTGGCGAAGGGCATGCCGCGCTTTTCGTTGCCTCTCTTTCTGGCACTCCAGCACGCAGCGCAGCAGTGCCCTCGCCTGTTGCAAGCGGTTGTTGCGCGCAGCCAAGCTGCCTCCCTTGGTGAGCGTTGTTGGGCACGAGGGAGCTTGGCTTTGCGCACTCCGCGACGCGCCTGATTTGTGCTACGGCTTGGCTGCTGCCCTGTCGTCTGCTGCGCGTGTCAGGGCCAGCTCCGCGCATTGTAAGGCTCTGTCAGTTAAGTCATCCGGGTGGCGGCAGTGGGTTCGTGATCATTAGGTCGATGGTGCTGCCGCGTTGTTCGCTTCGACGAGACCGCGCACCCCTTGGCACGCCCCCACCCCGCTTCAAAGAAGATGGCGCGCTCGTTCCCGCTCCTGCCAGTCTGCAGCAGGAGATGGACATGCTTGCTGACGAATGGTGCAAATGGTGGCGCATAGGTGAGCCCCATGTTGAGCTAGAGTGGCCCAGTGATCTAGGCCCCCTCTTTCCGGCGCCCTCTGTCGAAGAGATGCGCAAGGTCCTCCGCTCTTTTCTTCATCGGACTGGGTGCGGGTGCGATGCGCTCTCGCCCCGACAGCTGGACTATCTTCCCGACGAGGCCATCAGGGTTCTCATCCAGCTGGCCATGGATATCGAAGCAACCTGTGGGTGGCCCCTCGTCCACACGAAGATCGTCTTCCTTTTGAAAAGAACGCTGGGTCTGCGGCCAATTGGGCTGCTATCTTGTGTCGCCAGAATTCAGGGACGCCTCCGACGTCATCTTGTGCGATCCTGGCAGGCTCTGAACTTCAGGTCCTTCTGGTGGGCCACGGCTGGGCGCGGTTCGGATAGACTGGTTTGGGTCCAGTCGGCCATGGCTGAATGGTGCCAGGGTCGTGGATTTTCAAGTGCTCTCGTCTTGCTCGTTTTTCAGTGCCAGGCTGTTGTAGGCCGCCGTGGCATCAAACTTTCCTATGCGGCAGCTGAAGCTGCTCATCAATGTGTATCGTGTCCCTCGCATTTTGGATCTCGGCGATCGGGCCTCGCGAGTCGCCCGCTCGCTGCAGTCTGTGATCCCTGGCTGTCATTTCGCCACGCTCATGCTGCAGCTTGTGCTGCTCCAGCCGCTAGATGTGGTCGCCTCGGCCTTTTCGCACGGTGCATTTAGGCGTGGTTGTGGGCGACTTTGGGCTCCACGCCTATGGGCGTGAATAGCATGTGATAGCCAATGTCACAGGCGCCACGCTGAGATTGCATCATGAGCCTGGGCGTGTAGATTTGCGCATCAAGCAAAGCAAAAGCAGAGTTGTTGCCCCCTCCCCCGATCTCCTCGCGCGCATTCAGGCCAGATTGCGGAACTTGTCAGTCGTAGGAGTGCGGCACGAGCGTAATCTTGGCATTGACTATTCAGGAGGTCGAGCTGCCGCCAGGATCGTCAGACGTGAGCGGTTTGCCCCTGCCCGCAAGCGACGCAACAAGTTGATTTCTCTCGGTGAGCAGCTCAAGCGTAAGCAGGCGCATCGCATGGTGCAGGCCGCTGTCACGTCCTCCACTTCCTACGGACACCAGGCCCTCGGCACGAACAATGGAGAGCTGCGCGAGGCTAGGCATCAGCAGGCGCAAGTTGGAGCCACGCGTGTGCACGGCAGATCGGTCTCTCTTATGTTGCAAATGTCTCAGGTTGATCGTGTAGATCCCGCGTGTCGTTTGAACAGAGGGCCTCTGCTGGCCCTGGCCTCGGCTGTCTGGGACTCCTGGCTTCCCGTCTCGGTCCTTCGGGGTGGACTTGAGGACGCTTGGGGACGCCTGTGCGATCACGGCACCCCCTGGCAATGTTTCCGAGGCCCTTTCTCAGCGCGTGCAGCCACGGCGCTGCGGTTAGGTATCAAGTTTCAGGGACTCCAGTGGGCGCACCCATTGATCGGAACTTTCTCTCCCCTCGACCTCCCGCCTCGGACCCGTGGGTTGGTTCTGGATCGGGTGGTGGGCGGGTCGATTTGGAACAGGCTTGCTGACCACTTGGAGCTCCCCGAGGATCGCGGAGGCCTGTTTTTGCAGCCTACCAAGCAAGTGATTCGCAGCAAGAAGTGTTCGCCTCAAGGGGCCGCGTATTTAAGGAGTGTTGTTGCAGGCGGTCAGTGGCCCCAGCAGCGCCAGCATGACACCAATCTCTCGTCTGAGTTTTTGTGTCGAGCCAGCCTTGGCGCTCCAGGCGCACTGTCGCACAGGCATCTCTCTTGTGGCTTCACCGAGGAGGTGGTCGAATCATCCCCACCTCCCTTTTTGGGGAAGCTCGCTGCTGCTTGCGTCGATCCTCTTCCCCGCTTCCTCGCTGAGAGGCTGCTCGTGCCGCTTGCTCCCCTTCCTGCCGCTCCCAGGCCTCCTGGACTTTGGCCCTTGGGGCATGGGGCCCTCCAGGGCCGTGTTTTCCTGGACGGGGGCCTGAGGGGCTGCGATTTTGAAGTCGTGAACCGCGGCCTGGGCTGGTCATGTGTCCAAGTTTCCGAGCAGTCTTTTCGGGCCGAGGCAATCTATGCTTGCTCTTTCGAGCATCCCGCCGTTGACATTGATGCTCTGGAGCTGATTGCGCTATATCATGCGCGTTGCGTGTCATTGCCTGGCACCATCTTTTATAGTGACTCCAGCTTCGTGGTGGATGGGGTCTTGGAGAGAGGCCCCGTCAAGTGCTGTTCTGCGAAATCCAGCTGGGCCGAACTTTGGCGCATGGTGTGGCACAAAATCGACGACTGGGGTGGTGTGAGTGGGTTGGGCGGGCTTGTGAAAGTTAAGGGCCACACCACTCGCGCTTCGGTCGTCTGAGATGCCTCCGCATTCCATAAGCCAGGCAACGACCTTGCCGATGAATATGCCCAGCAGGCCTCTGATTTCTCTCGGCTACCGCTCGAGCTGCGTGAGCAGCGCGTGAAGACTGCCGCCATCCTTCGGTCGTTTGCCGCCTGGGTTGCTCGGGTTGGACCCGCTCTGGTGGCCTCTGATGCGCTTCATGTCTGTGAGGACCAGCGCCAGCGCGCGGCGAAACCCCACGCCCCGACGCTGCAGGTCCTCCCGCCCGAGCCGCCCTGTACCCCGCGCGCCCTGAGGAGCGCTGATGCGACCACCGTTCGCATCGCCCTCGTGGGCCAGAGGATCCATGTTGTTCACCCCTTCCAGTTTGCTGATACGGGCAAGTGGGGGGTCGGCTGCGCCGTGTGCGGTGCTGCGGGCCTTGGCTCGCCGCCTGCGCTATCTTCCCCGTGTCCAGGTCAGCCAGCACCGCTCTCGTGGGGTGCTCGGGTGCTGGCTAACCTGGTACGAGGAAGGTACCAGGTTAATACGAAATGGTGCGCGCTCGTCCAGCGCTGGCGCACCGCCGAGCTGGTGCGCGCTGGCGAGACTTCGTCGTCTCGCTCGCATCCAGCGGTGGTGTTTGACCCCGCTGGCCTGGCTGGCGAGGCTGGCGGACCTGTCCCAACTGGCTGTGGCGCACGCGGTCCGCCTTTGTGGCGCGTGTGGCATGGCTCGGAGGGGCAGGACAGCCAGCTTCGCCTCGCCCTTCGCGCCATCCGCCGAGGGCCTTTAATGTAGAGTGCTCAGGATAACCCGTGCGCCAGGCTGCGTCGAGGAGGGGGAGGAGGAGGAGGAGGAGGAGGAGGAGGAGGAGGAGGAGGAGGAGGAGGAGGAGGAGGAGGAGGAGGAGGAGGAGGAGGGGGGAGGAGGAGGAGGAGGGGGAGGAGGAGGAGGACCGTTTTGGGAACCGCCTCCTCGTGCCTCGATCCCGCCGCGGGTGCGCGAAAGCTCGGCGTCTCGAGGAGTTCGGGCCCGGCCTCACGGAGCAGCAGTGCGCTGTGGTCCACGCTATCGCCGCCCGCCTGGAGCTCGCTGCCGTGGACGCTGGGCCCGGGAGCGTTGCCGTCGGGAACGTCCGGACGTTCTCGGAGATCTGGGGGCCGTAAATCCTTAGGCTTCCCAGATGGGGTCAGAGTGGACGGGGCCGGAGGATTGCTCCACACCGCCAGTGCATCGGCGATGCGGCTCGATGTGGATCCCGTTTGTTGTCACGTCGACGTCGCCGGCGCATCGCCGACGTCGACGATGCCCGATTTCGAGGATCGAAGGAGTTTGCTTCTCTTCCCTGGCGGAATGCGGCGGGAGGGCAGCGGAAGGCGGCGCAGGGAAACTGAGGCCGCCTCCCCGCCGGCCGAAATATAGACCCGCCTATCGAATGAGTTGGCAAGGCTTGTTGGTTCAGGATTTCCTCAGAGCCCCGAGTCATCAGGGGTAACTCGGGTCAGGGCTGACTCGGGTCCGTTTTTCGGGAATCCAAGCCCGAGTTACCCCGGACACGAGTTACCCCGGATGACTCGGGCGCCCAATTTCCGGAATCCGAAAAACTGGCATCTGGTTCTTGCAGTCCGGGCGATTTTCTTCGATTTCGGCCACTGTGGCTTGTCATCGGGCCTTGGAACCAGCAAAAACGGGTCCAGGGTGCGAGACTATGGGGCAGCGGACGGGAGCTCTGGTGCCTCTGGGCCGCGGATTGAACTAATTACATCGGCGGATGTCAGGGAGCTCCGATGTGCAGTGACGGAAGGGTTTTTCGGGATCGGTCCTTGTCCCCCTCTCCCTCCCCCTCGTCCTGCTCCTCCCCCTCCTCCCCCCTCCTCCTTCTCTCCCTTCTCCTCTCCCTCCTTCCCTTCCCTCTCGTCCTCCTCACCCTCCTCCTCCTTCTGATCCCGAAGGGCCGGATCTTCGACGCAGGTACACCTCTCGTAGCGCTGGGTCCTCCTCCTTATCTCGATCCTGTGCCTTCTCCTCCCCCTCCTCCTCCTCCTCCTCCTCCTCCTTGTTTTCCCTCTTCCTTGGACTCGAGCCATTTGGCCCACGTTTTTGCTGTGCGGATTCGCTGATCGAAATTTTGGAGTGTAGCATGCGCCTTGTGTGGATGAACTATTGAATTATCGCCTTGTCGTGCTGCTCTATCGATTAGTGTGGGATGCCACCAGTACAGTGATGAGACGGTGTCCTGCAGTTTTGGTGAAGGTGGAGTCAAGCCGCATACGTACTCGCTGAAAGTAAGTTTCGATACATGCAGTGTTGAAATGGAGCGTGTGAGTACAGAGGGTGAACACGGTGACAGGAGCAACATATGGCGTGGTGCGCCGACCAGAAAGAGTGCGCATTTTTTGTAATGGTAAAGTTCTTCACAATCGAACATATATGTGATCATGCCGGGACACACGCCCCCGCTGGCAAGCGTCTGGCGCACCGTGGCAGAAACAATTGCAGAACCGATCTCGCAACGCATGCTAGCCGAATGGTTTGAGGAATGCCAGCTCAAAAAAGACCTGGATACTCATAAGGTTTACGGCGAGCAGATCACAGCACACAGTGTGCCAGCTACGATTCTGAATTGGAAGGCGTATCGATACGTCACAAGATGTTGGCCAGCGTGGGTCCCAGCGAGCGTGTTTCTAGCAATTTATGACGTGTGGTTCATGTGGTGCAATAGATGTGATTTAATCCACGTGGTGCAGTACATGTTGTTTAATTCATGTGGTGCGGTCTACGGTCTCCACTCTGTGTGGTCAACATCTGTCGTGCAATACATGTGGTGCAATTTGTGCGATTCAGTATATGGTGTGCAAGCAATGTGGTGCAGTCTGAGTGGTGCAATACACTTTGACTGTCTTGAAGCTGTCCTCTCCACTGCTCGTGCAAACATCCCACACTCCCACCCGCAACTTGGTCGCAGGACCTCTTAAGACCGTGACGGTAGGTACCAAATGGCACTTGGCAGCGACACCGAAGCCGACGACGACAGCGACAACGACGACGACGACGCCGACGACGATTACGACGACACCGACGACGACTCCGACGACTTCGACGATGACGACAACGGCGACGACGACGACGACGACACCGACGACGACGACGCCGACGTCGACGACGACGACGACAATGACGACGCCGACGACGACTACGACGACGACGATGCCGACGACGACGACGCCGCCGCCGACGACGACGCCGAAGTCGACGACGACGATGACGACGACAACGACGACGACGACGACGACACAGCGAAGCGCGCGCGAATTGAAATTATATGATTTTGCTTGGGAAGTCATGCTTCTTCCATGTGTTGTAATATAGTTGTATCTTGCAAGAGCCGCAGGAGGAGGGCCACCCGCGCGCGGGTCGGAAAGCGCTCGCGGGTAGAATTTTAGATTTTTGTGTCGCAGATTTTGTTGTCGCACATTTTTTTCGCGCGACCGTTGTTGAATGAAAGCGATGTGCGCGCAAAAGTTGCCCAAGAAGCCCGATTTGACAGGAATGTTGAACAGCCATTGGCTTTTAAAGGATTCGGCAAGAGCGCGCGGGCAGATGTTTCATAATTTTTCAGTGAGAAAGTTGTACGTTTCCATGGGGTGTCTTGATGCGGGATATTGAAATTGTTGAAAACACATTGTGTTTGGAGGGATTTCGACCTGCGCGCACAGCGGCCGCGCGCGTGTGCCCCGCATTTTATACATCAGGGTTTCGTGACAAAGTGTTATGTTAGAACCAACAATGTCACCGTCTAGTTTTTTGCGGAGGGGCCGAGGAGGGACCGATACCGGCCAGGCTGGGATAGTATGAATTCATTTGTCGGATGGACATTGGCTCAGCATCATAGGTGTTTTGCTTAGGTCCCCGGGGAATCGATAAGTCTGGGGGGGAGGGTGGTAGAACGTACACATTTTTTTTTCTATATATATATATATATATATATATATATATATATATATATAGAACAGCCCTGCACCTCGCTTGGCCCCCCGACTTCTCGCGCAAACATCCCACCCACCCACCCGCAACTTGGTTTGCACAATCCATGCGGCGGGGATTGCGATGAGTGCTTGGCGTTGGCTGGTGCATCTCTGCGGCCTGGCCAGCCCGCGCATGCGCGCGCAGCAGCCAGCTAGCTTGGCGCGACCGACGCGGCCGCGGTCGCGCTGACCGCTGGGCACTTCTCAGCAGGCAAGTCAGTGCGAGTCGGTGACTCGGGCAGGCGCGGTATCATGGCTACGCCGACAACGGTATACACGATGATGATCGTAGCGATGCTGGTGACGCTCGACGACGGCCCGGCCATTCTGGGCGTCGATGCTGATCACGCCTGCGACGATGACGGCGCCCTCGCGTCGGCGATGCAGGTTTTGGAAGGCGTTCGACACGCGGGCGCGGCAGGCGCGCGAGAGTGGCCCGCGTGGTATTATTTGACACGGATCGTGCCACCCCAGCACGCGCGCAAGGGCATGCGAATGATGTCGGCAGGCGCCATAGGCCCACTTGGCATACGTCCATGACAATGTGGAAAACTTATGGTTGTCTGAAGGATTCGAAAGAGCGCGAGCGCATGTTTTTTTTTTTTTTGTTTTTTGAAAACTTGTGTCCGCCGCCGCTTTGCTGCCGCGGCCGCTATGCTGCCGCCGCCCAGGAGGGCCGAAAACACATTCCTCGTGCGCCGCGCACTCGCGCCTTCGCTCGGCTCCCCGACGGGGGGCGCCCAGGGAAACCACGGGCAAAAGGTCCTTGTGTATTAGGCGCTCGTGCATACCCTAGGTTCCCCGATAGGGGGCAGGTCCCTGCCTGGACGAGGCAAACCCAAGGCAGTCGCAAGGAACGGAGACCTGCCTGAACAAGGCAAACCCACGAGGCAATGTTCGGCTCCCCGGTAGGGAGCGGGTCCCTGCCTGGACAAGGCAAACCCACAATTTCAACCGCACTTCCTGGACAAGGACGGGGTTCCTGCCTGGATAAGGCAAACACACGCGCGGCATATTCTCGGCTCCCCGAAGGGGGCGGGTCCCTGACTGGACATGGCCGACACAAGGAAGCCGCAGTTCCTGGAAAAAGGTACAGGCCCCTGCCTGGATAAGGCAAACCTACGCGGCTGCCGCAGTCCATGGACAAGGGGCGGGGTCCTGCCTGGACAGGGCAGACCCGCGCGACTCTGCGCGGACTTTCGACGGAAATTCGCGCGCAACTTCTCCGCAGTTGCGCATCAGAGTTCGAAGATGGAAAAGCATTTGTTTTGAAGGCTGCCGGCGGCCGCGGCGATTTTCATACCCCCTGAATCTTTGATTTCTGGGGCGGGGAAATCGCGGGGGGCGGGCTCGTGGACCTTCGCGTGTTCTGCTTATTCGCCCTCTGCCCGCGATTGTGGGCTTGCGGCCTCTCCGCCTTCCGCCGCTGCGCCGCCGCCGCATTGCCGCCGCCGCCGCTATGCTGCCGCCGCCCTGGGGGGCTCGAGGCGCATTCCTCGTGCACCGCGCGCTCGCGCCTTCGCTCGGCTCCCCAGCGGGGGGCGCCTGGGGAAGCCAAGAGCAAAATGGCCTTGTCTACTAGGCGCTCGCGCCTGCGCTCGATAGGGGGCGGGCCCCTTCCTGGACAAGGCCAACCCGCAAATTCAACCGCACTTCCTGGACCAGGAACGGGCCCCTGCCTCGACAAAGCAAACCCGCGCGCGGCAAACGCTCGGCCCCCTGGAAGGGCGAGGGCCCATGATTGGGCAAGGCAGACCCAAGTCAGCCGCAGTTCTTGTATAAAGGAACATGTCTATTGGATAAGGCAAACCCACGCGGCTGCCGCAGTCCCTAGACACGGGGGCGGGGCCCTGCCTGGACAGGGCAGACCCGCGCGACTCGGCGCGGACTTTCGACGGAAGTTCGCGCGCAACTTCTCCGCAGTTGCGCATCAGAGTTCGAAGATGGAAAAGCATTTGTTTTGAAGGCTGCCGGCTGCCGCGGCGATTTTCATGCCACCTAAATCTTTGATTTGCGGGGCGGGAAAATCGCAGGGGGCGGGCTTCTGGACCTTCGCCTGTTCTGCTTATTCGCCCTCTGCCCGCGATTGTGGGTTTGCGGCCTCTCCGCCTTCCGCCGCTGCG